ACTTGCTGCGCGGTGGGGCGCAGGGCGGGGTCGGGGTGCAGCATGGCGGCGATGAGGCTCTTGGCGTCCGCCGATATGCGCCCCCACACCGCCTCTCGGAACAGCCGCTGCGGCTGCAGTATCACCCGCCTGAACGCCCTCTCCGACCCTGCACCAAGGGGGGGGGGATGCGGGGAGGAGGGGGGGGATGCGGGGAGGGAGGAGAAAAGAGGAGTGGGGGGGAAGGGGTGGGGGTGAAAAGCATTCACTTGGGTACTAGAGTGGAGGACTGATCGCAGGGGGGTGGAAGGTGGGTGGTGCATTGAGGAAGGGCAGGGAGATACAAGAGAGCGATGTAGGACGGCAAGACAGCAAGCGAGAGACATCGTCATTATCTTGGGTGGTTAGTTGGATGGTTAGTTGGAACTTGGAAGAGAAGCGAGTGGGGGAGAAGGTGTATACTATCGGGGCCTTGCGGCAGGAAGGGGTAGTTGCCGGCGAGGAGGATGTAGAAGATGACGCCGCACGCCCAGATGTCCACGGGCGGCCCGTAGCGCTGCTTGCCCAGGTTCTCCCAGATGCGGATCACCTCCGGCGCCATGTACATGCAGCTGCCACACACGCGCGTGAATCCCTCGCCTGCCATGCACACATGTGCGCACACACGGTTACAGAACGGAGAGAGCACATGAGGGCATGCGGTCATGGTGCTGCAGAGACAGATGGAGGGGCGCCTCGCAGTTCGACTCCAACAGTAGCAGCACACCCTTCAACCACTCCTTTGTTTCTCACTCCACCACACGCTCCCTCAGTCCATGTCAGCAGCCCCATCTGCCATGTCAGCAGCCCCACCTGCCTCTCGCGTGCGCCACTCACTCACCTGCCTCTCACGTGCGCCACTCACTCACCGGGTTTAAAGTAGGCAGCCATGCCGAAGTCAGCGGCCTTGAGCACGGCGTCGGCGCCAGCGGAGGAGAAGAGGAAGTTTTCGGGCTTGAGGTCGCGGTGGATCACCCCGCTGCTGTGGCACGAATGCACCGCCCGCACCACCGCCTTGCACAGCTTCGCCGCGTCCCTCTCACTGCCCCTCGCGCACATGGTCGTCAGTGGGGGTGTGAGGGGGGATGGGAAGTGGTGGAGGGAGAGCGGGTGAGAGATGCAGAAGGTAGGAAGAAGGTGGCAGGGTGAGGGCAAGCGGCAGCGAAAGTGGTGGAACGGAGATGCTGCTGAGTGTATGGTAGATACATAAAAGGCTGATATGTGCGACAGCTGAATGTGATTCCACGACGCTGAAAACCTCACCATCCTTCATTACCATCCCCACACCAATCCCCTTGCTACAACAGCACGGCACCCATCATGCTTCCCCAACGTCCTCCCCTCACCCAAGCGGCACCGTCCTCTGCAGCTGCATCACACTGCACCCAGATAGCCCTCCCATCCACCCTAAGGTCATCTCATCCCACGGCCACCCCGCACCTGTAGGGCACGGTCATCTCATCGCACCTGTAGGGCACGGTCATCTCATCGCAGCGGCGGTTGATCTCATCGAAGAGCTCGCCCCCGCTGCAGAGCTCCATGACGATGTGGATGTCGCGGCGGTCCTCGTACGTGCTGTGCACGCGCACCACGTTCGGCTGCCCCTGCAGCCGGAACAGCACGCTCACCTGCCGTGGGGTGGGATGAGGAGCTGTGAACAGATGACAACTTGTTTGACTGTCATGTGTGGTTTGGGGGAGATGGCTGCTCTTGTCTTCATTGGGAGATGCATGTGACGCGTATTCCTTTTCGTTGAACACCCCAAACGCTCGCCAGGGCACCAGACGTGATCTTCACATTGTTACTTATTCACTTGCATGCATAGCATAGTAAAACACGAAATCACTAAGGCTGTTGGTCCCAAGTGCTAGAACCTGGAATGGATTCAATTCAGAAAGTGCTGTCAGCTCGAGCATGGGATCTGCTGCTTGTATAACATATCACGAGCTCACCAAAAACTTAAAAAAAGGGGTGGGTGGGTGGGTGGGTGGGGTTCGGTCAGGGAGGCTGGAGAGAGGAGGATTTTTTCAGCACTGCTGGTAAGCCCTGGCTGGCTGGCCCATCCCCATGATTCAGGGGTGGCAGGGATCGCTGTGCTGGATAGGTTGCTTGGACTTCACATGGTTTTAGCATAGACCAGGGAGCTGGCCAGGCTGGGTGGGGGGAGAATGACCCCCTCAGGGGGGTTTGGGGTAGAGCCTCTTCGAGTGGAAAACTTGACTCACTCAAGCTCTTTTTAAATCGAGGACGAGTTTCAAGAAACTTGTCAAAGTAGCGAGTTTTGAGACACAATTCTATCGAAAAAAAACTCGACGAGTTTTCCTCAATTCGGCTTGACCGGTAAGCAGAACTCGGAAATGCGAGTGGAGTAGAACCCGACTCGTCCGTTGCCCATGTACACTCACCTCCATGCACACGTCCTCACCTCCGTGCGCACGTCCTCACCTCCATGCGCCCGTCCACTCACCTCCATGTGCACGGCCTCACCTCCATGCGCACGTCCTCCACATCCTCCACGGAGATGAGGGAGCTGCGAGCGATGGTCTTGCAGGCGTAGCGCACGCCCGTGGCCTTCTCCGTGCACACATACACCTTGCCGTACTGCCCCTCGCCCAGCGCCTTGCGCTCTATGTTGAACAGCGTGCGGATGTTGGCTGGGAAGGCAGGACAGAGGACGGTGGCGTGAGGGGTGGAGTGGAGGAGATGAGGGGGGGGGGCAGAGGGAAGGAAGGGGGCGGCAGTGGAAGGGAGATAAATGGAGCGATGGTAGTGGTAGCAAGCACGAGCAAGGTGAGACGTGGGCTTACGGGTGCAAAAAGGGGAGGGGAGGGGGGCATGGGCTTACCTTACGGGTGGGCCAAGGGAAGGGAGGAAAGGCGCTGTTTACGTGGGGCGGTGGGCTTGGGTGAGTTGGGTGCCTTACAGGTGGGCCGGGGGGGTCGTACATGTGGTTTGGTGGGCTTACGTGTGGTTCGGTGGGCTTACATGTGATTCGGTGGGCTTACATGTGGTTCGGTGGGCTTACATATGGTTCGGCGGGTGGGCTTACATGTGGTTCGGTGGTAGGCCTTACATGTGGGGCACGGGAGGGGGTTGGGTGGGCTTACGGGTGGGGCGGTGGGCTTAAGGGTGGGGCGGTGGGCTTACGGGTGGGGTGGTGGGTTTACGGGTGGGGCGGTGGGCTTACGGGTGGGGCGGTGGGCTTGCGGGTGGGGCGGTGGGCTTGCGGGTGGGGCGGTGGGCTTGCGGATGGGGCGGTGGGCTTACGGGTGGGGCGGTGGGCTTGCGGGTGGGGTGGTGGGCTTACGGGTGGGGCGGTGGGCTTACGGGTGGGGCGGTGGGCTTGCGGGTGGGGCGGTGGGCTTGCGGGTGGGGCGGTGGGCTTACGGGTGGGGCGGTGGGCTTACGGGTGGGGCGGTGGGTTTACGGGTGGGGCGGTGGGTTTACGGGTGGGGCGGTGGGCTTACGGGTGGGGCGGTGGGTTTACGGGTGGGGCGGTGGGCTTGCGGGTGGGGTGGTGGGCTTGCGGGTGGGGCGGTGGGTTTATGGGTGGGGCGGTGGGCTTGCGGGTGGGGCGGTGGGCTTGCGGGTGGGGCGGTGGGCTTACGGGTGGGGTGGTGGGCTTACGGGTGGGGCGGTGGGCTTACGGTTGGGGCGGTGGGCTTACGGGTGGGGCGGTAGGCTTACGGGTGGGGCGGTGGGCTTACGGGTGGGGCGGTGGGCTGGCTTACGGGTGGGGCGGTGGGCTTACGGGTGGGGCGGTGGGCTTACGGGTGGGGCGGTGGGTTTACGGGTGGGGCGGTGGGCTTACGGGGGGCGTGGGAGGGCTTACGGGTGGGGCCGCGGCCGAGCACGGAGGCGGTGAGACTTCTGCCGGGAGTGACGGCGGCCAGGGTGGGCGGCCAGCGCCGTGCGGGCAGCTGAATGCTCAGCTCCATGTCCATGCCCACGCCCATGTCGCCCCCCCCCTGCTGCTGTGAATGCTGCTGCTGCGAAGGCGGCTGCAGCTGAAAAGAGACGTGGTTTTGCTGCTGCGATGGGCGTGGCTGGGGCGGCGGCATGAGGCCGTGGGGGGGCGGAAAGGCCTGCTGCTGCTGCGGGTGGTGCCAGGGGGCGAGCGGGGAGGGGCCGTTGGAGGAGGGCGCAGAGGAATTTGACGCCTGGTGAGGGGGGAGGGCGGGGGGCGAGGAGAGAAAGGGAGCATGCATGGATGAGATGAGCGTGATGGAGAGAGGGAAGAAAGGAGAGGGAGGGAGGAGGGAAGCGAGTGTGGAGGGAAAAGAGAAGAGAGTGATGAGAGAGTGAGAAAGCAATGGTTCAGCAGCGTGGGGGGAGAAGAGACACAAATGTGAAGTTGGGCTGTGACGTCAGCAGGGCAAGGCAGCGAGGAAGTCAGATGTGTGACTCGTGTGGGCCCATCCCTGAAAGACAGAGCCTTCCTAGCCTACCAAGGGAGCAGCATACCATGGAGAAAGCGGGCGAGTGGAGGGGCAGGTGGTGCGTGGCGCGCGCGCAGAATGGATTCAGCAGCACCTCCAGCGACGTCAGGCACGTCCCCACGCAGTCGCCTGTGCGCCGCACGCCCTGCTGCTGCTGGAACGCAAACAGCTGCTGCTGATGCTGCTGCTGGTGCTGGTGCTGAAACAGAGAGATATCCGGCTGTTGCTCTAGCTGAACCGCTCCCTGAAGGCCCTGCTGTTGCTGCTGCAAAAACAAGGTGAATTGCTGCTGCTGCTGCTGCTGCTGCGGAGAAGCGAGGGCGGCGCGCACGTGGGCGGGCCACGGGATGAACACGTCTCCGCTCGCCTGCTGCACGCCCGCGCTACCCGCGGCGGGGGACGCACGGATGTCCCACGGGGGGACGGCTGGGGCGGACGCAGGGACAGTGGTATCAGGAATGTCAGTATCAGGCGCGGCCGAATCGGGCGCGGCAGTATCCGGCGCGGCGGAATCAGAGGCGGCGGGGTGGGGGAGCGAGGGGGGGGCGCGCGCGGAGGAGCAACTGGCGACGCTGCTGGCGACGCTGCGATCGGAGGAGAAGGCGGTGTTGCTGCTGCTGCTGCTGCGACCCGACGATGACATCCACGGCGCGGCTCACGCGCGGGCAGTCATGCGCGGATGTCACGCGCGGAGGGGCATGCGCGGAGTGTCATGCGCGGAGAGTCATGCGCGGAGTGTCATGCGCGGAGATTGCGCGGACGTTAACAGTTAAAGGTAGGCGGGTTAAAGACTGAAGCTTATGTCGGAAGGGGAGGGTGAATAGCGGAAGGCTAATAGCGGAGTCTATGAACAAAGAACTATCGGCAGCCGGTTGGGAGATTCGCGGACGCGTTTTTTAGAGTGAGGCAGCAACACCGAGCACGAGAGCGGGGCGACGAGCGACGACCCGAGGAAGGAGGGCAGAAACGGATAGACAGGTGGAGCTCGAGAAAAATAGCACGGTAGATAGCGACTAAGCGTCGTCGCTCAAGGCTTTTATTGAATGGCTGAACCGGGTTCGACGCCGACGCTGCCAGTGCGACCAACACATCGTCTTCGCGAGAACGACGAGAGGCACCTGGTAGCGCGGTAGTCGCGGCAGAGGCGGCTAGACGAAGCAGCTCGACAATGTCGAAGCACAATGGGACGAGCATGCGATATTAGCACGTGACGGGGAGTGAGATGATAACGCGATCGCGTGGCGTGACGCTAGCGGAAAGTGTTGTAAAGCAACACGAGACGATGCAATCTCACGTCTCACACAATCGTTGTGTGTGTGCGAGGAAGAGCCGCCTTGGGCTAGTGGGGTGAAGTGGAACCAACAGTAGCTGTCAAGCCTTAGGGAGTGTCTTGTACGGTGGGATGCGATATTCTGCGTGTGAAAACGGTTTGTATACACGTTCTTAAAGCTGCGGTCTACATACTTGGAGCGGGGAGGGAAAGTTTATCACTTGAAAACAGGGTAACTTTGTCCGTGCAAGGACCCCCTCGGGAGAAACGAACAATCGAGGCGGGAGGAGGGGGGAGGCCTGGGGGTTCAGGTTAGAACTTGACCCACCGTGTTTGAGTTTGTATACCAAAACTCAAGCGATCACAGGAGCCTGACTTCACTCGACAGCCCGCTTGTCCAACACATAGTGACTATAATTCATAGATTATAGTCTCCAGTATAAACCAGCGACTCGAAGCCACTGCGTTCTAGCGACACTGTCCGCACCGGCCGCTAACCACTTGCTGTTCCGCGCTCTCCAATCCCCCCCTTCTGCTCCGTCGTTAGGAACCCGAATTCAGCGTCGCCGCGTGCTGCCGCGCTTAGGGTTGGCGCTCTCAGCTCAGGTCCCCGCTTTTAGCTTCAAGCTGGAATATCCCGCTTTCCGCTCGCCGCTTTCAGTTAATCGCAAATTTGTCCCGTTTTCCACTGGCCGTTTTCCGCAGGCCGCTTACAGCTTACCGCATGGTTATCCCGCTTTCCGCGAACCGCAGCCCAGTGAGAACACCCAAGTGGCGCGCTCTCTTTTTTTACTCGCACTACCATCGTTCACGTATTGACTTTAGCGACTGCGTTACATCCTTCGGTCCCACCCAGTTCCCTTCCCTCGTTCTACCCTCCCACCCCTCGCGCTGCATCCCCGCTTCCCCTCGCGCTGCATCCCTGCTTCTCGTCGCTGCTTCCCCGCTTCCCCACGCTCTGCTTCCCTGCTTCCCGTCGCGCTGCATTCCCGCTTCCCCTCGCGCTGCATCCCTGCTTCTCGTCGCTGCTTCCCCGCTTCCCCTCGCTCTGCTTCCCTGCTTCCCGTCGCGCTGCATTCCCGCTTCCCCTCGCGCTGCTTCCCTGCTTCTCGACGCTGCTTCCCTGCTTCTCCTCGCGCTGCTTCCCTGCTTCCCCTCGCGCTGCTTCCCTGCTTCCCCTCGCGCTGCATTCCCGCTTCCCCTCGCGCTGTTTCCCTGCTTCCCCCCCGCGCTGCATCCCCGCTTCCCCCGCGCTGCATCCACGCTTTCCCCTCGCGCTCCGTCCCCGCTTCCCCTCGAGCTGCATCCCTGCTTCCCCTCGCGCTGGTTTTCCACATTCCATACTGGCGGCTTTCCCCTTTCCCTACGCGCTGCCTTCCCCCGTCCTATACGCACCTTTCCCTTTTCCATACCCGCTGGTTCCCTCTTTCGTCTCTCTGTTCCACTACGCTCATCCCTGCCATTACATAACCACCAACATCGAGGAAAGCGGGTGTTGTAGACAGAAACGTAGCGCCTTTGGTGAGAGGGGATGAGCAGCAAGAAGGGTCCGAAAGGGGGAGGAGGGGGGAATAAGGCATTCTCCAGTGTCCACTTGTTCCTCTCTCACATCGCACCTCCGGCCCCAAAACAATGCGAATTCCCCGTCTAATCTCCTGCTTACCCATTGTTTCCCCCCTGCTCACTCTTCCTTTTCCCCCTGCTGACCCATTGTTTCCCCCCTGCTCGCTCTCTCCTTTCCCCCTGCGTACCCATTGTTTCCCCCCTGTTCAGTATTTCTTTTCCCCCTGCTTACCCATTGTTTCCCCCCTGCTCACTCCTTCTTTTCCCCCTGCTGACCCATTGTTTCCCCCGCGCTCGCTCTCTCCTTTCCCCCTGCCTACCCATTGTTTCCCCCCTGTTCAGTATTTCTTTTCCCCCTGCTTACCCATTGTTTCCCCCCTGCTCACTCCTTCTTTTCCCCCTGCTGACCCATTGTTTCCCCCGCGCTCGCTCTCTCCTTTCCCCCTGCCTACCCATTGTTTCCCCCCTGTTCAGTCTTTCTTTTCCCCCTGCTTACCGATTTTTTCCCCTCTGTTCACTCTCCCTTTTCCCCCTGCTTACCGATTGTTTCCCCCCTGCTCGCTCTTTCTTTTCCCCCTGCTTACCACTTGTTTCCCTCCCAGCCCTCTCTTCCCTCTCTGCTCTCTTCCCTCCCTGCTCTCTCTTCCCTCTCTGTTCTCTCTTCCCTCCCTGCCCTCTCTTCCCTCTCTGCTCTCTCTTCCCTCCCTGCTCTCTCTTCTCTCCCTGCTCTCTCTTCCCTCCCTGCTCTCTCTTCCCTCCCTGCTCTCTCTTCCCTCTCTGCTCTCTCTTCCCTCCCTGCCCTCTCTTCCCTCTCTGCTCTCTCTTCCCTCCCTGCTCTCTCTTCTCTCCCTGCTCTCTCTTCCCTCCCTGCTCTCTCTTCTCTCCCTGCTCCCTCTTCCCTCCTTGCTCTCTCTTCCCTCCCTGCTCTCTCTTCCCTCCCTGCTCTCTCTTCCCTCCCTGTTCTCTCGTCGGTGGTGCAGCTCGTCAGGCATGAAGCAACCAAGCAGACTAGTTAAATTTAGGACAGTTTGATGTGGGCCCTTGCTGTATCGTAACATCGCGTTGCAAGTTATTCACGAAATACCCTATTCAGTTTGAGGTTCTACATACAAAAGAATGAAAGCATTTGTCATGTGTGGGTATTTCTAATGGTCCCTCTTTTGCAACACTGGTGGGTGTGGAGGACATTTACCGTATGTATTGTGTGTAAAATAACTTGATTTACAACACAGCCTTTGTCCACTTTTATATAGTCGCCTCCGCTCACACGTTGGCTAATGAGCTCCTGCTGAGTGGTGAGAGCCCATGTAGTGCTCATGCTGCTGCAGTCACCCCAGCTGCAGTAGCAAGTCGGAGGCCCAAGCAGGAGGGAAGGAGGGGTGGATGAGTGGCGCATGAGGTGGCAGGGCGAATGGAGAGTGCCATAGTGCCCAGCATCCAAGCGCCCATTGGCGCGTGTGGTAGCGGGCTTAGCCCATGTCCTCCCCTCCATGGCGGCCCGCTGCCCTGCTGCAGCCTGCACAGCACACTCAGCCGAGCACGAGGGGAAAAGAGGAGAGTGGGGGAGCAATGGCAGGGCATAAGGAAAGCAGCGGGAAAGGAATGGGAAGGAGAGTGAAGGAGTGGGAAGGAGAGGGAAAGGAGTGGGAAACTATGGTGGAAACGGGGATAAAGGGGGAAAAAGGAGTGGCCAATAAAGCGAGTGGAAGAGGATGGCAGGGGAGCAAGGGGGTGGACAGGGGGAGAGAGGACAGAGGGGACGGAGGAGGACAGGGGGGAGAGAGGATGACAGGGGTCGGGAGGAGGACAGGAGGGAGAGAGGATGACAGTGGGGGGGAGGAGGACAGGGGGGGGAGAGGATGACAGGGGGGGGAGGAGGACAGGAGGGAGAGAGGATGACAGGTGGGGGGAGGTGGACAGGGGGGAGAGAGGATGGCAGGGGTGGGGAGGGGATAGGAGGGAGAGAGGATGACAGGAGGGGGGAGGAGGACAGGGGGGAGAGAGGATGACAGGAGGGGGTAGGAGGACAGGGGGGAGAGAGGATGACGGTGGAGAGAGAGGAGAACAGGGGGGGAAGAGAAAGACAAGGGTGGGAGGGCGGAGAGGAAGAGGTTCGGAGGGATGAGGAAAGGCGCTGGCCTGTGAATGGGCACATTTCGCGCACCTCGTCAAACGTGCAGCTGGCGGCTCGGTGGCGGTCACGAGGCTGCAGGCGCGGGTGGCAAAAAGGGGGAGGGGGGAAACCAAGAGAAAGTAGTGGGGAAATGGGGAAGATAAAAGTGAAATGAGGGGAAGGAGGGATGGGAATGAGGGCATGGAGGGGGGAAATGGGGGGAAGGCGGGGGAGACATGAGGGAAAGAAGGGAGAGAGGGAAGGGAAGAGATAGAATGAGCTGAGAGAGGGTTTGCGGGGGATGAGAAGATGGGGGTGAGGGACGGGGGGAGATTGGAGGAGGAGGTGCGACCTGGGGGAAAACGGAGGTGCGACCTGGGGGGAAAGGGAGGTGCGACCTGGTAGGAAAGGGAGGTGTGACCTGGAGGGAAACGGAGGTGCGACCTGGGGGGAAAGGGAGGTGCGACCTGGTAGGAAAGGGAGGTGCGACCTGGGGGGAAAGGGAGGTGCGACCTGGGGGGAAACGGAGGTGCGACCTGGGGTGAAAGGGAGGTGCGACCTGGGGGGAAACGGAGGTGCGACCTGGGGGGAAACGGAGGTGCGACCTGGGGGGAAAGGGAGGTGCGACCTGGGGGGAAGGGAGGTGCGACCTGGGGGGAAACGGAGGTGCGACCTGGGGGGAAACGGAGGTGCGACCTGGGGGGAAACGGAGGTGCGACCTGGGGGGAAACGGAGGTGCGACCTGGGGGGAAAGGGAGGTGCGACCTGGGGGGAAGGGAGGTGCGACCTGGGGGGAAACGGAGGTGCGACCTGGGGGGAAACGGAGGTGCGACCTGGGGGGAAACGGAGGTGCGACCTGGGGGGAAACGGAGGTGCGACATTGGGGGAAACGGAGGTGCGACCTGGGGGGAAAGGGAGGTGCGACTTGGGGGGAAAAGGGAGGAGCGCACTGGGGGGGAAAGGGAGGTACGACCTCGGCGTGTAAAAGGCGCTACGCCACGCGCACATGGAGAGAATCCCGACTGTGACTTGGGTGGCTTGAAATCGTGGGTAAGAGTGACGCTACGAGCGGGAATCGTGGCTCTTAGCGTGGTGGCGCGAAACAGACGCTGCAAGCGGAAATCGCGGCTTAGCGTGGTGGCGTCAAGAAGACGCTACGATACGCGCACCTGGCCAGAATCGCGGTTGTGAGCGGGATGGCGTGAAACAGACGTTACGCTACACGCTGCTAGCAGGAATCGCGGCTATCAGCGTGGCTGCGTGAAAAAAAACACTGCCCTACGCGCTCCAGGCGAATTTCGCGTCAGTGGGCGCGATGGCGTGCAGTATTCAGCTGCGCTGCCTGCAGGTAGCGGGATTCGCAGCCTAGTGCAGCATGGCGTAGCTTGCATGTTTGACGGTTGTGCTCATCATGGGCATACGTTTTCTATTCCGCTTGATTGTTTGTGTTGGGCGCAGGGTCTTCCGCATTTCCGCGGATTACTTGCCCCGGGCAAACCAGCTCACGAAATTGTTTGTCATCGCCAGGAGTGCTTGAATTCCTCGCACAGGTGTTTGGGGAAGAAGCTCATTTCGCTCTCGAATCATGTTGGGCGCAAGGGTGTGTACTCAGATTACCCCCAGAAAATCCCTTTTAGAATGTAGACCGCAGCTTTAAGTTTGGGTAGGGTCTCGAGCGGAGAAGAAGTCGTCCGGCATGAGTGGAACGCGGTAAAATCAAGGCGTGTCTTGAGAGACACTGACTTTTCCGCGATCTTATCTGATGGGGTGTCGCCCATCCCCACGCTGCACATCACCGTGATCCAGACGGGGTTATGCGAAACCTATCTGGTAACCTATCGGGTTATATTCGTGCCGCACAGCGCTCACTCCGATTTCGCGATGCCTGCGAAGGTAACCCGAGCAAAGGACGCGTCCTTGCCAGCCAGGGAAACACAACTTGAGAAAATTGGAGACCTGACGGACAGGCCCCAAACTCCTGCCTGCACTACTCCAGTAGTCACTCGCTCTCCCGCCGTCCTTTCTGTGGTGAGGGACCGTTTGAGCCGTGTTGGTGCAATGCGTTACGGGTGCAATAAATCGAAGTAGCGAGGATTGCACTAGGTGTCAAAACGAGTACAAAGTATGAGCGAAGGTATGAGCGACTACTATGTGCGAAAACATGCAACGGCCAGGGCTGACACTATCAGACTAAATAGTCTGATTAGTCTGACCAATCAGAGCATTGAGGTTGTGGAAAATGGATTTGCAGAGTAATCAATATCTCATCCCTGAGGGCCTCAGTGTTATTGTTTGTAGGCCCCTGATATAGTGTAATAGTTCTCAGACTTGGTCGTTTCTGGAGTCTGTCCCTACAGAGTATACAGTATGTGGTCCCTGTATGCCGGTGTATTGAGAGGAAGCTTCCCCGAAATTTCCGAAATTACCCCCCCCCCCCCCCTTGTAAAAATTTTCCACGCGTAATCATTTCACCACCCCCCGTGGTTGTCTTCTTGTTCGCGTGGCCTCGAAACCACGTAATGTTGACAAAATCTGTTGGTGCGCTGTGCACAGCAAGGCAGCCAGGTGCGGCGTGCTGCGGCCAGTATGCCAAGCTTGATGATGACTCTGCAGCCACGCGAACCGCGCCACCCTCACTTAATGTGATGGGTCGATCGCGATTGGTGGCATGGCTCACTAGCTATGTGTGGTGGCATTGTGGCAGATGAATTTGGCCCCGTCTTCAAGGCCCGATTCATTCATCAAACCCCACCCCACTCCGTGAGCCATTGTCGTGGCGACGCGGCTTTCGTTCCGTCTGCTGCAGCTGGTTCTTTCCAGGTTGCAGGGCCTCCCCCGGTTTCACATGTTGCTTTCATTCTCGTGCTTTCAGCTTCTTGATTCATCGTTCTCTCTCGCCATGGCGTCCTTATCTCCCGCGGAGGACTCGCCTGAGGCCGTCCCGGAAAAGCCTCCCGATCGTAGGGTTAGCGGCCTAGACTTCCTTCGATCAAGCGTAGCTCCAGTCACCCCAGAACCTTTAGTTACCGCTGCTGTTGTTAATACCGAGGAGTTACCGTCGTCCAGCAAGAATCCGCAACCGGCCCCCAATCCCGCGCCTGCTCCAGCGCCGTTCACTCTCCCTCCCGCCATCGCGTCGTCTAGCAAGGGGCCGCAACCTCCTCCCAATCCCGCGCCACCACCAGCGCCGTTCACTCTCCCTCCCGCCATCCCGTCGTCGAGTAAAGCGCCTCCCTCTGCTGTTGGTAGCAGCGGCTGCAACGATGCCGCTCCCGCGTCCGAGGGTCGTACAGCTAAGAAGGCGCGCACTGTCGTACTCCGCGGGAAGTTTCAGCAGAGCACGTTGACCTTCGGCGGTGTGCGCGTGGCACCACCAAGCGCTCCAGAAGACTCCGAGCCCGAACCAGAGGAACCAGAGGAGATGCCTGTACGTGCGGACACCAACTCTCCCGTCCTGTCCAAGGCTGAGGTAATGGAGCAGAAGTACATAGAGGCGAGTGTTAAATATAACACCCAGTGGTTGCCCAAATTCCCGTGGCTGCTTTTGGTTCGCGCTAAAGACGGTGGTCCCAGTGTGAAGTGCAGCCTGTGTCTCTCGTTCGGCAAGGAGACAACCAAGTACTCAGGTCCAGGCGACGGCGGGCGAGACCTGCAGACGCAGACGATGCGCATCCACGAGCACACGACGGTCCACAAGGAGGCGATGCAGCGTCAGGCAGAGATTGCGGAGGTGATTTCGAACGGCCAGACGAAAATTGATCGTTTCATCAACGCGGACGTTGAGGGTAGGCGGGCGATTGGGCTGATGAGGTCGGTGCAGTTTCTCTGCCAGGAGGACGCGCCCATCAGCATGTTCCCGAAGCTCATGAGGCATCTCGCTGAACAGGACACCCCCGACATACCGAAGCAGGCCTACGGGGTGTACCTCACGAGGTGCGTTTTGTATGGTTTCTAATTTAGGTAACGTTTGGTTACTGTCTTTCAAAACTAACGTCTCGTTTCTTCGTAACCATTGCAGATACGGTTTCCAACAGATGGTGCACTGCCTGAGCACCTGGTTGACTCAGACGCAGATGGAGCACATCGCCTCGTCGCCCTTCCTCGGCTTGAGCACAGACGAGAGCACCGACCGGACCCGCGGGAAGCACATGATTGTGTACATCACGTTCTTGCGCAATCGTCGAGTCGTTACTGAGTATCTCACCCTTCTTATTGTCGAGCGGTGTGATGCAGCTTCTCTCTTGTCGGTGCTCCTCAACCACCTGCACACCGCCAACATTGACATCAACCGAGTGGTGGGCATCAGCACGGACGGTGCGTCTGTAATGATTGGATGCGACAACGGCCTCGTCACAAGACTGCGGGAGCATGTGCCGCATCTCGTGTCAACACACTGCATCGCCCACAGGTGATATAATCTTTCCCGCACCTTCATCTTGCTTTATGTACCGCGCCTCACGAAGACCCCGACGGATACTAATCATTGGCTAGTTGGATGTACAGGGAGGCATTGGCGGTGAAGGACGCGGCCACGGCTAATCCTGACCTCGCGATGGTGGACACCGTGGTGCGCACTCTTGCTGAACGCCTTGGCGCTTCATGCCACTGGAGCCAGCGCTTCAAGTACCTTCAGCGCGTCATATACAACACAAACCTCGAGGTCCAGGGCATACACAGCGTGCGCTGGCTCTCCCGGGGCGACGCGGTGAAGCGTCTGTGCAAGGTGCTGGGCGCGGCGATTGTGCTCTTCCACGAGAAGGAGCACGACTTGTACGAGACGGTGACATCGTACAAGTTTCAGTTCTGCCTCTTCTTCCTCGCTGACATCCTCGGCGACCTGAATGATCTCAACCGTTCGTTTCAGAAGCGGCAGGTGAGTTAGCGTTGTGTGGGTGGCTATGTTTGTTGTTTCATCGTGTCCTAATTCACTAGTTGTTGTGGACAGGTCGACGTTACTGAGGTGTCAAAGACCGTGGAGTCCATCACTGGCGACCTCGAGCACAGGTACCTGGACAAGAAGGCGGACTTCGGTGGTTCCGGCAACGGATGGCTGCCGAAATTCCTGGCGCTGTATGGCAAGAAGTCGGGTCAGACGGTCCGAGTGCGTGGCTCGGATTCGGAGGGCCGCCCTGTGAACCACTCGTACATCCTGCACGAGAGGAAGCTCAAGGACCATAAGTACAAGAGCGGCTACAAGGCGTGCGTGAAGCTGTGTCGCAAGTTCGCGACGGACGTCGTCGATTGTCTCCTGTTTCGCCTGGACGACCTGCGGGGGATGGGTCCAACGAAGCTGTTTCGCGCGTCTCAGTGGCCCAAGAGCAAGCACGCACGAGACCGCAAGTGCCAGGACTGGCTGACTGGCTGCGCCGCTCTGTTCAAGAACAAGCTGCCGGGGTTTGATCACAAGAAAGCGTCGCAGGAGCTGGCAACCTGGTGCCCAATCATGGAGTCTCACCACGAGGACGAGTCATTTGCGCAGGGACTGGCGAACTTCATGGGGAGCGGCGACGCCAAGAGGTAAGTCCACCTAGTCTGCGTGTGCCACATGCATGTCTCAAATCTAACGCTTCGGGAAAACTGATGCTCCTTGTTTTGTGCAGGCGCTGGCCCAATCTGTTGCTGATGTGGCAGGCGTTGGCAGTCCTGCCACTCTCCACTATGGAGTGCGAGCGGGGGTTCTCGCGTCAGAACGTGATCAAGTCGTGGATCCGTGGGTCTCTCTGCAGCGCGCGGCTCGCGGAGCTGATGCAGATCTCGCTGCTGCAGTACGAGATGGACTGGCCTGGGGTGCTCGACACCTGGAAGAGCCTCAAGAAGAGGCGCCCTGTGCAGAGCGTTCTGTTCCCATCTGACGATCGCAAGCGAAAGGAGAAGGAACCGGAGGAGGAAGAGGAGGAACCCAGGGAGGCGGCGGGCGAGGAGGAGCTCGCGGAGTCAGACGATGATCGTGACGACAACCTGGAGATGGATCAGGAGATAGAGCAGTCACCGCCCCGAGATTACTCAGAGGAAGATGTTAACCCGTTCCTCTCGGATGGCGAGGAGGGGGAGGAGACGTATGACATAGATCAGCCGACAGAGTAGGATTCTTGGTGCTGTCTTGTGTGAACCCTAAACCCGGCCGGGCATTGTTGACAGTGCTTGTGTAATAAATAAAAAATGATAGAAACAGCACTCTGATCATAGTTCGCCAACCCTGTGACCACAGGGAAAGGGTTTCCTGGAGACTGAGCCATCAGAGTGGCCAAAATCTGGCCGGAGAGCCCTCAGAGTAAAAAAAAAAAAAAATTGCACCATCAGTGTACCCAAATTTGAAACGTCAGCCCTAGCAACGGCTACGCGGTGCGTGCGAGCTAGCTAGTGCTAGGCTGGCATGGAGGTTCGGGCTAGTCCCGAAGCATGGGCCGACTCGGCCAGGCCAGAAGTGCAAGGTTTGGTAAAACAGTGCGCGCGAAGTTGATGAAGCCCCGTTAGCAATAACAGGTGAACAACGGCTGCTGATGTACGAGATGTTGATGGTTGCGGTAAGGAATGTCGAGAAAATTCCTTACACTACCCCCCCCCCCCCCCCCCCCCCCCCCCCCCCACCCCCCCCTCTCCTCAAGAAGCCCCCTCCGCTACGTTAGTGCGCCTATATCGTGGAAACCCCAGCTCCTTAGGTACACTTGTAGTGCAGGATGGTTTTCGATGTTGGCCAGGGGCACCCAACTATCTTTAGTTGGCGTGCGGTCCTTCCAGCGAACGAGGAACTCGATCCTCTTGATGCCGGTGGGATGACAAATCCGATGACTCAGAATCTTCTCGGGCTCGCTGATTGGCTCAGATGCCGGGCGAGTCATTGACGGCGGGCGATGTCGTGGCAGTTGGCTGGTGGTCGGGATGTACGGGCGAAGCAGGCTGACGTGGAACGAAAGGCTGATGTACCAATCTGACGGCAACAGTAAATGGGCGGTAACTGGGGTGATCATGTGGCTTATTTGGAACGGTCCACAGTATCGCGGTCGAAGTTTCGGTACGACGGGCAGTATTAAATTCTGTGTGTCGAGCGGTACGTAGTCTCCTGACTGATACGTGACTGGGCGGCGGTGGCGGTCAGCGTTTCTCTTCGCGATGCCATTTGCTTTTTTAATCGTTTCTGCGGCTCTGGTGCGGGCAGCTTGCAGAGTCTCGGCGAATCGCTGTGCGCGTGGCGTTGGGTTGTCCGGACTTGGCGTCATGGGCATTTTTGGATTTTGCCCGTAATTCAGGTAAAACAAGGACTGCCGTGTCGTCGCTGACGTGACGTTGTTGTAGGCGAACTCTGTGAAAAGTGGCGAACAAGGAATGACTGAACTAGCAAGGGGATGGGTACAAGTAAGAAAACCTAGCAGTGTTGTACCCCATACAGTCTACCCCACTACAGCCTACACAGACTATGTCATATATGTTTGACACACCCCCATAGGCAAAGTGGGGGAGAACAAGAGGTCACAAGACCAGTCAAGCAAAGCAAGGCAAGCTCAGGGTGGATCACAACGTCACCACACAATCTGAGCACAAGCACAAGGCCACAAGGCCAGTTCACATGCAGAGTTATATATCAAGGTGAACAAGCAAGGCAGTGATCTCAACCTTGCAAGGGTAAGCATGCAAGTGCAGGTATATATAGATCACAGTACAAGCGAAATCAAGAAGTGAGCAAGTGAAGCCAAGTAGGCACAAGACCTAGCATCGTACAAAAGCGCTGATGATCACAAGGCTCAAGTGCCTTGGTAAAGATATCAGCAGTGTTGGCCCGAGAGGCCACGTAAGCAAGGCGCAGCTGACCACGCTGCTGCAGCTCACGAGCAAGGAAGTAGCGAAGGGCAATGTGCTTCGTTCTGTGCTCCAGTCTGTGCTCCCGACACAAGGCCAGCATGGCCTTGTTGTCTAAGTACAGAACTGGAGGAGAACGAGGCGGCTCTCCCAGGACAGTCAGCAGGTAGGTGAGCCAGCGTAACTCCTGTGCAGCCATGGCCCCTGCGTAGATATCAGCCTCACAGCCGGAGCTGAGAACAGAAGACGAGCGGGTAGACCGCCACGAAACAGAGCCGGAACCAAGGCTGAAGGTGTAACCCTGTGACGACCGCTGCGTAGCCAAGTCGTCAACCCAAGACGCGTCTGCGTGACCAGTGAGAACCACTGGACTCCGCCCTCCAAGCACGAGCCCCATGCCCGACGTACTGCACAAGTAGCGCAACACCCTCTTCGATGCAGCCATGTGCTCTGGTCGGTATCTCCCAGGAGCAACATAGCGTGCCAAGATGCTAAGAGGGTATGCCAGGTCAGGTCGAGTGCAGGTCATCAGGTACATGGCTGCACTACGGACCACTCGGCTCTACGGACTCATCCAAAGGCAGAGCTGAGAGCGAGTGGCGAGTAGACAGAGGAGTGGCCTGAGGCGAGGAGTACGTGAAGTCGAAGCGCTGAAGGACCTGCTGCACCATGTGTGACTGAGTCACGGTAATGGTGCGCCGTGCTCTGTACCGGGTGATCTGCAAGCCAAGATAGCTGCACAGTTCACCCAGGTCTGTGCACGTGTGTCTCTTCTGCAGCTCGGACTTCACGTGGGCGAGTCCAGCAGTGTCAGCAGTAGCAAAGACCAAGTCGTCGACGTACACGAGGATGTAGAACGGCGGCAAAGAGGTGTCGGTGCGTAGAAACAGCAACGGGTTAGCAGTAGAAGGAGCAAACCCAAGGGCCGCAAGCGTAGTCCTCAGTGTGTCGTGCCACTCACGGGGCGCCTGGCTGAGACCGTAGACTGGCCGCCGGAGGCTCCACTGGGTACCAGGAGGAAACGACCCAGTGAAGCCAGGTGCAGCCAGATCTCCTCGTGCAGGCTGCCCTGTAGGAAAGCAGTGCTGAAGTCAAGAGAGTGAAGCTCGTAGTCGCGCTGAGCGGCTATGTGCAGCAGCACCCGAAGAGTGGTCATCTTCGGGATGGGAGAGAAGGTCTGGAAGTAGTCAACTCCCTGTCGCTGACTGAAGCCTCGAGCCACGTAACACGCCTTGGAGACAGGCGGAGAACCCAGCGGCCGCTTCACCCTGAAAATCCACATGCCACTGACGATGTTCGCCCCAGGTGGGGGAACCTCGTCGACGTAGGTGCCTGTGGACTTCCAGAAAGCCATCTCCGCGTCCATGGCTGTCTGCCACTGAGAGGAGTAGGGACCCTCTATCGCCTCTGCGTAAGAGCGCGGGTTCGGGATGTCTGATGCATCCGGGTCTCCCTCGGGGGCAAGCAGCATGGACACGAGATGAGGTAAAGCAGCAGCAAAACACTGGAACTCCTCCTGCCTGTCCTCAAGGACGTCCGTGCTAAAAGCACACTCACCCCCGACGGACGGAGGACAGACAGACTTAGACTCAGCAACAAGACTAGCGGCGTAGTCTAGACGACAGTGAGCAGCGAAGTCGACAAGCTCAGCAACTAAGGCAGACGCAGCAGTGGACTCAAAGGAAGGGTCAGTGACAACAGTAGCCAGGAGACGCGTGATAGTAGGACTAGCAGCACGAAGGGAGTCAGACTCCGGGTCAGCAAGAGCAGGAAGAGAGGACTCTGGAGGAGACGGCAAAGGGACACGCTGTGGAGCAGTGGAAGGATGCAGTGCCATCTGGTGCGTGCCTGGGACCGCAGGAGGACGCTGACTCGGAACACGACGACCAGTGCGAGCAGCACGAACAGGCGACGTAGGACGAGATTCAGGCTCACAACGCTCAGCAAGACCTCCAGTAGGACCAGTGTAGGGAGAAGGAGCAGGACTAGTAGAAGGCGGGAGACCAAGAACCTGCTCAAGGAGCGGAACGAAGTACGGCTGCGGCCGCGCAGCACCTCCAGAACCAGCAGGGACAGCACCAGCACCCCCAGCGTCAGCTCCAACAGCTCTAGCAGCACCACCAGCTGCTCCAGTAGCGCCAACTCCAGCACCCACAGGAGCACCGGCTCCAGCAGCACCTCTAGCTCCAGCACCTCCAGCAGCTCCAGCTCCAGCAGGACTACCGGAAGACGAAGCAGCTCCAGCTCCAGTACCTCCAGCAGCACCTACTCCAGCAGCACCGCCAGCTCCAGCACCGCCAGCAGCTCCAGCACCGGTAGCACCACCAGGCCCAGCAGCTCTAGTACCTCCAGTACGGGACCCGTGGCTCCAGAACCCCCAGCAGCCCCAGCAGCAGAAGGACCTCCAGCAGCAGCAGAACCTCGAGCGCCGGAAGCACCACCAGCTCCAGCAGCACGGCTCCAGCGCCGAGCAAACCACTCGCGCAGCTCCTGCGGAGAAAGTAGCTCCCGCTGGGACGAAGCACCCGAACCTCCAGGCCCAGCACCGCCAGACTCTACACGAGCAGGCCCAGCACCCTCAGGCTCCGCACCCCCAGACTCAGCAACCCCAGGCTCATCACCCCCAGACTCAGCACCCCCAGGCTCAGCACCCCCAGACCCAGCACCCCCAGGCTCCGCACGCTCAGGCTCAGCACCCCAGACCCGGCACCCGCAGGCTCAGCACCCCTAGCAGCACCAGAGTCAACAGCTACCTCGACAGGCTCGACTGCGTCTACCTGGGACACACCTGAGGGGGCAGGACCCTGAGGGGGGAGGGGGTCTACCGGGGGGAGACCTGGCGCGAGGAAGAGCGGCGGGGGGGGGAGGGGGCAGCGCGGTAGGGGAAGAGACGGTAGTAAGGAACCGACTCGTCAAACGTGACGTCCTGGGAGGACAAAACACGGCGCGAGGTGGGGTGGTAAAACTGCCAACCAGGCGCGTCAGGGGGGAAGCCAAGGAAGACGCAGGGAACAGCACAGGAGGACAGCTTGTCCGCAGACAAGTCGCGGACGAAAGCTCGAGATCCCCAGACACGGAACGCAGACGCATCGCCAACCTTCCCCGTCCACCGCAGAGTAGGGGAGGTCTCCGGCATGGAGACCCGGGGCTGAAGGTTGATCTGATGCGCCGCGTACTGAACCGCGAACGGCCATAGAAAATTGGGAGTAGCCGCATGGATCATGGACGTACGAGCGACGTCCATGACCATGCCAATGCGGCGCTCAGCAATCCCATTTTGCTGCGGAGAG